GTTATTTAATATATAACGAGCCTAATTCCTTTCGATTTAGTATAAAGGATATATCTGAAATGATGCACTAAACTTTAGGAGCGTATTCTAGAGGTTAAAATACGACTTTTTTAGAGGCCCCTAAAGTTTGGGGGAAAAATCGAAAATTGGCTGTATTTCAGGAAAATTATTATTTGACGTTGGTTTTGATGTTACCTATCACCCTTTCTTGAGAGATAAATAAATTTGCATTGCGGATATTGGTCAATTTCACACATTGTCGAATTTTAGCTCGGAGGGGGATTTATTTGCGGATATATTCCATATTCATAAGAAAAAAAAGTCTTATTTTGACCTTTAAAATACGCTTCTAAAGTTTAATGCATCATTTCAGATACACCCTGTATTTATATATATATATATATATATATATATATATATATATATATATGTATATATATATGTGTGTAATAAGGTTATTTTGAATTATTTTGTATATATATGTATTAGGGTGGTCCTTAACAGGGGTGTTTTCAAATTTCTATGCTCCCAGGGGCTCAAAAGCTTCCAAATCTATAAAAAAAAATTCCCTGAAAATTTGAGCTCTTAATATCAACTCTAAGATAGTCCGCATTCCAACCTAAGTTTCTTATGGAAATAACATGAGAAAAATTTCCTTCGTTATTTAGAATTTTATTATTCGGGAATAAATGGATCTATCATGATGATTCATACATATTTTTATGAAGAATTTAACGCTCTACAAAAAAGGTCTCTTATAGTTTTTCGCTAAATCTATTAGTTTAAAAGTTATTCGAGCTTAAAGTTTAATTTTTATATAACTATTAATATTATTAAGTATGATTATTAAGTAAATAATTATATATTACAAATATATTAAATATTTCTTGTAAAATTTTTATCTATGATCAAAATAAGCAAATATAATGTTATCCGTAGAATTGTGATTAATATATGTGATTTTGAAATAAATAAAACAGATAGTTATTTAATTTTCAAGATAATAAAATAAAAGAACGGATGAAATATGATACCATTTGGATACTTAGCTTTAATCAATTTTCATATTTTTCATTATTGTAGATTTTCGACTATCAGCATAATATTGCTTATATTCTGATAGAAATTGAATTATAAATTGTTGTTGCTCTGGATCCTTGCTTAGTATACTATGGTATTCTTCAATTAGTTTCACTGCACGCTCAGCAATATCATTAACAACTTTCAAATTTCTTACCAATAGCAAACCCTTCTGGTAATCTTCATTTCGACACCACTCAGATGGATTTAAATTTAAAAAATCTGTATTTATCCCAAATCGTTCGAAAAACTGGAGTGATCTTGATGATATGAATGAAGCAATGCTCCAATTATATACGTCTCTAATGTTTTTAATTTCAAAGCGTTTCAATTTTTCTGAACTTTTGTCAATACTTTTTAACATAATTACCATCTGGCTCTTAATGTTTAGTGATATTCTTTCGTCAAAAAACGCCATAGCTGCAGTTTCTGGATTTAAATACCACAAATGCTTGCTAAATTTCTTTAATGCTACTTTAGATATTTTAGCATCTGTCAATTTATAATCAATAAGTTCTTTTAAAAATGATAAATCATTATTTGGAGCTTCAGAGGCTAGAGGACAAGTAAACCATGCTTTGATATACACTGTAGCAATAAAAATACAAATTTCAGAAATTGATTTGATTAATTTAACGGTTATTTTGAATTGTTTACGAAATAAATATATTTTGATAGTATATATGGCCTTCGACATCCATCTAGCGTGATGGAATGCACCCGGTTTTCTAAATTTTACTTCACTGCACGGAACTTTACCGATAAATACCTGAACAAGCTCCAAAAATTCTCTGTAGTCCTCTCTTGGTTGTTCAGAATCAAGTTGCTTTTGGATAAATTCATTGATGTTTTCAATATGATTCTGTATTTTGTCTTGCACATACGAGTCTTCAATGCCAGTAGAATATTGACTTGTATCAATTTCTGTCCAATTCTCTCGGAATCTTTTAAACAAAGGTACATCAGGACCTGAAGTTGTAGGTATTTTAAGTTCAAAAACATCCCTTAGAATAAGCTCAAACATGTGATGCCTGCAAGGCAAATACAGGAGTTTTTTTTCGAGTAACTGTTCAAGTAAAATTGCAGCTCCTTTACTTGATCCTAGATTTGCAGCAGTAGTATCACAGCAAAGAGCCTTAATACAGTCAGGAATACCCCAATCAATAACAGCGTCAAACATTGCATCAGCTTGAGACTGTCCTGTACCATCATCTAGTATCGGGATCGCTAATATTTTTTCGATTTGTCCACAACTTAATACAACTGGTAGTCGTTCTTTATTTTCTCCACTTGAAGTTTTCAAAATTTTTCCATCCCAATGTAGGACACTAGCATTCAAGTCTTCAGTTTTGAAAAGTTCTTTGATTTCTTTAACTTTCTCTTCACGTATTTTCTCTCTGCTTCGACGAATTGATGATCGATTTACTATTAATGGATTGACGTTAATATTTAATGATGAACATAAAGCTACAATCAAACGTACAGCATTGCGGTCGCTTATTTTACAATGATCGAAGACCGCTACTAATTTATCATTTACGATATTTATTGTGCCACGAGATTGTGTTGATTCTTGATGCTGAATAGTTGCCAGTTCATCGGAAAAATTTGAAGCAGACGATTGAGACGATATTGTTTTTTGACTTAATGGATTTACTCCTTCCACTTCGCTGCTCGATGTAAATTCCACAAATTCATCTATTTAATAAACATAAAAGTCATAAATATAAAAATTTGTGATTGAAATTAAGATACAATCATTTTTAATAAATAAATTCAACTTTATAAATGATTTTAAAATCAATTTTACCGTATCGAGCTTTTTCTCTCTCCAATTTTTCACGACGTAGCTGTAGTAGTTCATCCTTCATTTTTTGGGTTTGTTCATTATCATCAGACTCAATGTTAGCTATATAGCCCACTCTACCGTCTTTCCGTTGTTGAGTCAAAAAATGCATTATATTTTCATTGACCATTTGTGCCGCATTCGCATGGGCAATGTCGAATAAATTTAACAATGAAGATTTAAATTCGTCCTCTTTAATTTTATTTGAGTCTCTGTTCATACTTTTTTGGAGAAGCTGATATTGTTCATATAATTTTAATAACTGATCTATGCAATGATCTTTTCTTTTAGTTGGTATCTGAGCTTTGTGCCAAAATACTTTAACTTCTTCTGCACAGATTTCAGCACTTTCACGTAATTTTAATTTTAGAATACGTATATGATAAAAAAAAACTTTTAGCACTTGTAATTTTGATGGCAATTTATTACCGATAATTTGAGTGTCCACATCACCAATCAAATAAATATTTTGACGTAAAATTATTCTTGATGTCATGATGAATAAATATTTTCTTTGACAGCTCACACAGGTTGGTTATTTTAATTAGAGGTTAAGTGATTTAGAAATATTTTTAAAGGTCGAAATATTTGAGTACACAAATACTATTATAGATGGCGTAAGTGACTCACAAGTTTTGTCAGTCCATAATGCCACGAAAATTATAAACATGGCATTTGCTTATTTTGATCATAGATAAAAATTTTACAAGAAATATTTAATATATTTGTAATATATAATTATTTACTTAATAATCATACTTAATAATATTAATAGTTATATAAAAATTAAACTTTAAGCTCGAATAACTTTTAAACTAATAGATTTAGCGAAAAACTATAAGAGACCTTTTTTGTAGAGCGTTAAATTCTTCATAAAAATATGTATGAATCATCATGATAGATCCATTTATTCCCGAATAATAAAATTCTAAATAACGAAGGAAATTTTTCTCATGTTATTTCCATAAGAAACTTAGGTTGGAATGCGGACTATCTTAGAGTTGATATTAAGAGCTCAAATTTTCAGGGAATTTTTTTTTATAGATTTGGAAGCTTTTGAGCCCCTGGGAGCATAGAAATTTGAAAACACCCCTGTTAAGGACCACCCTAATATGTATACAGGGTGATTTAAAATAATCCTATTGTCAGTGAAATTACACATTCTTGAGTCAATTTCCGACTAAGCGTCGGAAATTTTGCAAAGGAAAAATCGTCTTAGAATTAACTTTTTGAATTTTTCAATTACTAAAGGAAGTAATTAACTTATGACGGGTCGAATACAAGAGGCAGATAAGGGTGGCATGATTCACCGTCAGACGCGGGTGCTTACGCGGGGCGCCCGCTGCGATCAGCTGGTCGCTACATACACACACATGCGAATACATTTTAACGATACATCCCGGAATCGTTCCGTTTTCTCGGCAATGCCGGAAGCTGCCGCCCGGCAGAACATCCGCGAATAAAAAAAAAATATATATATATACTTATTTTTCTTTTTTTACTTTTATCAATTCAAGATGTTATTTTGCACGTATTCTTTTTATATAAAAAATTTTTTTAAGAATAACTGTAATATGTAAAATTGCATATTTCTCAAATAATTATTTTTAAATTTGTGATAGTTTTCAATTATTTCCAATTTTAATAATAATTGAAAAATTATATAGTTATTAAAAGTGTAAATCGCGTGTTATATACAGGGTATCATTTTAAGTAATGCAGCTGAATATCTTGAAACTACGACGGTTTCGGTGAAAATGTTTTAAACAAAAAGTTGCATAGTTTTAAGGGAGCCATAAAATGGTGTCATTGATTTTACATTAGAAAGTCGTTTGAAGATCACGTAAAGGTCATCTTCAATTTTTTAAACGGAACCCCCTATTTTTTATTACTTATTCTTGCAGTTTATCTCGAGAGCTTTCCAAAACTCTATAATAAAGTATTTCTTCATTGAATACATTTCAAGTTATGAGGCTTAAAATAATCATTCCTTAATTTTACAGAACCATAAAATATCTAGTAAAATATTCATTTTTCGATTATCTTACCTTAATGCTTATAATATGCTACATAGGATATTAGGACTACAAAGGAAAGCATACGTGGCCAATCATGTTTTGCATCATTTTATGTGTAACGAATGGAAATTTGATAACACAAATAGTCGAAATTTGATGTCTCTAATATCACCTGATGATCGAGAAATATTTTCGATAGATCTTTCTGATATTGATATGACTAAGTATTTTAGGTAAATATAAAAATATTCTTTATCTTAAATAGAAAGAAGCTAGAATGTGCTGATCCAGCACATGGTTTTTGGGCTTTTATTTTTATTAGAAATTATATATAAAAATTCAAAAATATTTACTAAATAGTGCTCTCTATTAATGGTATATCATAATTTAATACTACCTTATATTTTTGAGCAAGTTGCTCTTTCATAAAAATTAAAATTTGAAAAATAATTTTGGTAAAACTAAACAATTTGCGGTCTATACGGTGATGACCTTGACATATGTTGTCAAGGATACTTTCCCGCGTAATTTCATGTATATATATATATATATATATATATAATAGCCGAACTTAAATAGTCTAGTCCCTATCTCCATCTCAAAGTTTCAAAAGATGATAATTTTATACAATTCGGACCTCTGCCCCGAGACTTTGATCTTCGTGTGTTGTCAAAGACATCATTCTAAGTAACTTTTGCTTATAAAATAATTGGAGGTCGCCGCTTATTAAAAAATTGTTAACAAATGAAATTAATGATATAAATGATGTGAAACGAGATGTATATTTGCAAAATTTCACATGGCTTTGCGACTTTCCACATGAAGCAAGGTCCACCTTGCCTACTGGCGGGAGGGCGGCACGCGCGCGTGTGTGTATGTGGAAAGTCGCAAACCCACATGAAATTTTACAAATATATCTCGTTTCACATTATTTATATCATTAACTTCTTTTATTTATAACTTTGAAATAAACAATGAGCGTCGACTAAAACCTTTTGAATGTTACTCAGGGTCCATCACTTTGACAATATGTGTCAAAGTCAAGGTTATTCGAGATGGCCCTCCTAAGCTAAATAATTACCTTTATATAAGTCAACTTAATATATTCAATGAGCAACAAATGCACGATAAATTAATTAAGCACATACTGGATTTATATCTTTATATTTTTTATTTCATTTATGATAATAAATGAAATAAAAATAAAACGTGAAATAAAAATATAGTTTTTAATTGCTGAAAAATAGATTGATTTATAATATTATACAATTTTGTTAATGTAATAATATTTACATTAAAAATAATTTTAAATATTTATTTTATTATTTGAAGGGATGCAATAATAGGTACCAAAAAATATCTTCTTCATGAAGATATGAATCGATTAAAAGCAGCTAAAGCACATTGTAAAAGGTAAAAATAAAAGAAACATTATTGTTATTTATTTGTTGGATACATTAATTGCTTATTTGATTGCATAAGATATTAATTTTTAAATATAATAGAAGTATTTATTTTAGAGTGGATCTATTTGTAAGAACATTTAAAACTGTTATTATTATTGGAATATTATCGATGATATATAAATGTATGTGATTTTAAATATTTTTTTTAAAGAGAGAGAAGAGATTATATAAAAACAATGGTTTATAAATATTGCATATTGTATAATTTGTTGTATAAAATTATATAACTTTTGTATAACTTGTATAACTGGCTACTGTATAAAATTGTACAATTTGTATAACTGGATACTGTATAAAATTATATAACTTGTATAATTGGATATTGTATAAATTTATATAACTGTAATTTATAACAATTTAAAATAAACAATTAATGAAATGTAATTTAAACGGAACGGATATTTAAACTCGAATTTCTCGAAAACAAAGCCTCAAATGAAAAAATTGTATTCTATATTTTTTTCTTATTTTTTTATAAGGGATTACCTTGTACTCGCTTACATATGTTATTTGGGCCGGATCCTGTATATACAGGGTGCTTTCGGACAAACTTGAAGGGGTGACAGATCTTGATAAATAAAACAATTTTTGTTAAGCAATCCGTGTCCGGCGATGTCTCCTGGCGCCAGGTTGAATGAACATTTACACTTGCGTATTTCTTGCCCCCGTTACAATGTCATATGCAACCTCTGTTAATACCCGAAATGAGCTCATTACAGGATTACGAACGCATGCGATACAATTCGCAATAATTCTGGAATTTTTCAAAGGGTACGTCAGCAAATGCACCGTAGATGCGCAATGTTTGTATTGAGGTTGTAGATCGCCATTTTGAACATTTATTGTAACAGAATAAACAAAATATAATTTAAAAAACGTATAATTCTTTTTATTTTAATCTAACCATATAGAAATAAAAAAACATTCATCGCAGCATGGCACCTTAAAGAGGCATCGCCAGACAAGAGAACACAATTGTTTTAAAGAAAAACTTGTGTAACAAAAGCTACCAGATCTCCGCCGCAAGTAACATGCAACACGGCGTGAAAAGGATAATGAGAATGTGAGCTCGCCGCTTTGACTAGCTTCGGATAGTACAAGAGGACAGAATACAGTTTTCTGTCTCCTTCCTACCAAGCTGGCAAGGAAATAATAGTATAAAAAAACGAGACAAGTTTGAAAACATATTCTGCTTATTATATGGATGAAAATAAGAGAAAGTCACATAAACATAGATTTAGAAATGCTGTTTTTTCAAACCTTAACCATTTATGTACAAAATAAATACTAAAAATAATATTTAATTACTAGAAATAATATTCTTCCGCTTATCTATTTATATCTATCGATTTAAAAATAAACGTTCTTATTGATATTCGGAAAGATCTTATATTACTGCTTTGTGTCACAAAATTCGAGATATTCTAAGAATTTTTAAATATCTTTGAATTTTTAAAATATCTTTTTTAATTGCGAAATGTTGATAGTATATAAACGAACGTTTGCCGGAAGAAAATTTTCAGCATTTTTTTTAACGAAATATTTATTAATGTTATTAACGCTAAATTTTAACATAAACAAAATATATTAAAAAGAAAACGTTTCTAGATTTACGTTTCACAATTATATAAATTTTTTTAAATCTGTGTATGCCAAGTTGGAATACTCTTTTATATATTTCAATCATTTATTTCTTTAAACATTATATGTTTATAATGATACTCATATTTATATGGTTACATTATTCTTATTTTTATGTCTCAAGAAAATAGTGTATCGATTTAAAATCACTTGTAAAATAAAATCATACTTATCAAATGTAAAAAAGTCTTGCCAAAAATCGTATTATGTATGAATTAATATTCGCAATGTATATAATATGTATATATTAATTAATACAAAATATGGAACATTTACAATACGACGTTTACATACATTTGTGCATATATTGATCGTGTATTTTTAAATATATTGTCAATATTGCTAAATATATTGTTCCATAAAAATTACATTTTAAAAATACATTATAATTATATTAATATAATATTTAATATTGTATAATATTATAAGTAAAATATTAATAAATAAAAATATTATATGTAATATTATAAAGAATATGTTTTACAGCAATTACTTAATAATATCTAATTATGATTAAATAGCTCTTTATATGTTTATGCCTGTAAATTTATGTAATAAATACAATAGTTAAATATATTTTATATATTAAATTAATTACACATATATATTTTTAATAATTAATTTATACTTATAATTAATTAATTATTTATACGATTCCTATAACTTCTAAAATCAATGTTAAATTTAAATTTAAAGAAATAATTGATGTTCTTTGTTAGATGAAGATTGAGAATTATTTTATTATTATTTTTTACATTTTGAGAAAAATAAAATTGTGTTATATAATATTACAAAAATAAATGTGTATAATAAATCAGAAAAAGTAAATTACTACGTCGTTTGAAGTAATTTACTTTTATTCTCTTATAAAATTATTTGAAATATTTTTATTTATTAATATCACACAATTTTGCAGATCTCAAAATTTACAAATGTGAAAAAATGATCTTAACAAAATTATATATTTACATTATTACATTTATGATACGTGTATATATCTTACTTCATCTTATTTATTAAAATATATCATAAAAATTAATCATGCATAATATCATGCGTTGTCTAAATAATTTAGAGTTGAGAGTAAGGTTTTATAATAATCTTAAGGAACTTTATCAATATTACAGATGTACTCTTTACAATAATACGCAGAACATGAATGTTAACTTTTCGAATTAAAGTTTACCCTCGCCTCACATCTACAAAATTGGGAATATATTATTAATATTATTAAAATAATAAAATAACTTATACATATATGTACATATATAATTAAAATGATAAAAAAAACGAAACAAGTTTAGAAACATATTCTGTTTATCATATGAATGAAAATAAAAGAATCTCACATAAACATAGATTTAGAAACGTTGTCTTTCCAAACTATAACTATTTGTATACAAAATAAATTGCTAGAAATAACATACTGTCTCATTCATTTACATCTATCAATTTAAAATTTCTAGACTTCTTCTAGATTTTTATTTGTAAGGCTATCTCTTTTGCTAATGTTTTCTTGATATTCGGAAAGCTTTTGTATTATTACTTTGTGTCACAAAATTCGACATATTCTAGGAATTTTTAAATATCTTTGACGTATTTGTTGATAGTATATAAGCGAACGTTTGCGAAGATATTTTCTACATCTTTTTTAACGAAATATTTACTAACATTATTAATGTCAAATGTCTGCCATAAACAAAACATGTTAAAAAAGAGAACATTCTAGATTTACGTAATATGTAA